GCCCAGCGGCACCCCCCAGGCACCTGGGAGGCGCGGTCCCTGGAACGTGCTACGTGCAAGGACAGGCCAGTTGCTGGGACGTCTGGCCGCGGCGTTGTGCGGAGCGGGACGTGGGTCTCCGCCGTCTGGTGCCCACAGCCTGACTCGAAGAGCCGCACGACAGTGGAGCCCTCCCTCTGAAGGAAAACGGGAGCCCCGGTTCTCACCAGCCCGCTGACTGATGCTGGCGAGTTTTCTCCCTGATGAGAGTAACTTCCCCAAGGTGGGAACTGTGTCTGCCTGGTTCACTGCTCCACCCCAGACCCCGGCTTACGCTCAGCCAATAAATGGCTCTTCACGTCTGCTCCCCTCACGAGTGAAATTCTCTCGGTCAGAGCAGACTTGCTGGTTCGGAGGATTTCGGATGGCCATGTTTGGGGATGGCCTGCTGACCGCAGAGCCTGAGTGCAGCTTCAACCTCTGCAGTTGGTGTTTTGCTTCGAAACAGAATGAATAGGGTCTTCCACCTGGGAGCCTCCTGTGTGGCGTTGTGTCTTCATTTGTGTTTTGCTCCCTTTACAGAGGGATTTCCCACCCGGGAGCTCATGCTGTCCTCAGAACAAGAACTGCCTCGTGTTTTTGTTCTACTTGGTGTATGTATGAGGTAAAGCGAGATGCTTACACAAACACAGTGTAAATCAACTGTCATTGGTGTTGTGTTAGTTTCAGGTGCGCAGCAAAGTGATTCGGTTATACATTTTTTTTTCAGATTCTTTTCTGTTTTAAGATATTACAAGACACTGACTAGCGTTCCCTGTGCTCTGCAGTAGGACCCTGTTGTTTACCTGGTTCATACATAGTGGTGTGTGTCTGCTATCCCAGACTCCTCGTTTATCCCTTCCCCCTCCGCTCCCCCCTCGGGTCACCGTAAGTTGGTTTCCTATGTCTGTGAGTCTCCTGTATGTTTAGGTGAGAAAACAAGACTCGGAACCCGGCGGCACGGCCGAGCACCCGTGGCCGGGTGTGCACGGCGGTGCCCGGGGTCCTCACTTGGGCTCTGAGTGCCCTGCTGTCTGTCCTGGGCTCGCGGACACAGTCCACTCAAAGCTCATCTCACTGCTGGTGTGTGAATGGAAGCGTCCCGAGGAGCACCCCACTGCCCAGAAGTTCAGTTTATGCCTGCTCAGAAACAAACTTGTTACAAGTCAGCTGATTAATTTGGTTTAGAAAATTCTAGCATTTCTTGGTGTGATCTGGCGACACCTTGGGCTTGAGGGAGAAGAAGACTCCGTTCTAGTACAGCAGTCAGTAGGTCTTGAGAGCCTCTTCTCTTGTCTGTAAACTGCGTAAGATGATACCAGTTCTGCTAACTCCAAAGGCAGGTTCTCGGAATTAAATCTAAAACAATGTGCAAAAACTCTTTAAAACTGTTATATGACATTTAAGAGCTTTTGCACAGCGTTTGAGATTTAACTCAGAGTGTTATTTTTTACAAACACATGGTGTATGTCCAAACGGGGCCACTGCAGTTGGGTGCACAGGGATCTTTGGCTGGTACACGTTACAAAAGGAAGAGAAACAGTTGCAGGTCGCCATGGAAATGGGTTGATGCTTGACCGTGGATAGGTGGCCCTAACCTGAAATAGGTGTGTTACTGTCACTGAAGAATGTAGTTCCCTGGGGGGGGCGTGATCAAAGGCAGATCAGAGCCCCCCACTGTGACACAGCGGGCACAGCAGTCCCGTGGGGGAGGTAATGTTGACCCATTTTTCAGATTAGGAAACTAAAATGTAGGGCGTTGCTGGGGAAATTGTCCAAATCATAAAGCCAGCGTAGGTGACCATCAAGTCAGCACTGACGACAGACAATGGCAGTGAGCCTCTGTCTCCAAAAGTCACCTGGCCTTTTAGATGAACGCTGGCGAGTTGGCAGCCTGCTGGTAACCCGTGTGCCCTTCCAGCCCTGGCTCAGTGCACATCCCGGCTACACAAGCCGGACTGTTTGGGTTCCACTGAGGATGGTCCGAGGCTCCCGTAGCTTCCACAAGCAAACCCTGCTGGATCGCCCACTGTGGGGCAGACACATCTAACGGGGTCCCCCTTTCCTAGCAGGCCGCTGATTGTGCGCACTTAGCTTCAGTGTTCCCATGTGGACTACGAAGCATTTGTCCCAGTGAAAATAATGGTTTTCAGGAGAAATGATGTAAGTTCTGAGCTCTGTGCTTTGGTGACCACAGGTGGAGACTTCACTTGCTTATCCTGGGTTCTCCTAGGCAGAAAATCTTGCAAAACATACAAAAGCCGTGAGGAACAGCATCATTTTCCCCTCTTTCTCTCACAGGTGGATGACCAGATGAAGCTTCTTCAGAACTGCTGGAGCGAGCTCTTAATTCTCGACCACATTTACCGACAAGTGGTCCACGGAAAGGAAGGGTCCATCTTCCTGGTTACCGGGCAACAAGTAAGTGCAGAGACCGAAAAAAAAAAGTACCTTTTTATTCAGCGTGCTCAGGCTGGCAGGAATGTAACGAGGTCAGAAGCACTTGTGTGCTTTGAAAGGGAGATTGGCTGCCGACAATTTAGAAAAGCGGACCTGGTGTGCTCTGTTCCCACTCTGATGATTAGGTTAAACTTGTAAAAGCCGGCGTCATCGCGAGCCATCCGCCGCTGTCGCGAGCCGTCCGCCGCTGCCAGGCTGCTGGGCTGAAAGGTGGCCTTGGAGGGGTCACAACAATTGCCAAATCAAAATTAAGGATTAGGGTCTTGGGGTTTTTTCCCTCAAGCTTCTGCTTTTAATCTACCACACTTGTTTGTCAGCTATTTTTTAAAACCTTATAAACTGTGAAATCCTTGCTCTTCTGGAATTACACTGATGGAAGAGACTGATGCAGTATCACATACAGCCTAAATATCTGGCGTAAGCCGAGCGAGCAGGAACAGGGGTGTTTGCTGTCGAGCGCAGGTCATTATTCGAAAGGAAGTAGGCAGAGGAAATTACTGTTCGGCCCCTCTCCTTTCTGAACGGTATCTGTTGGGTCAGCAAATATTTCTGGAACGTCGTGCGAGGTGCCAGTCACGATTCCGGAGCTTTGGCCGCTTATTAGTGACCAGAACAGAAAAAGATTCCAGCCCTCACGGAGTTTAACACCGTAGCACAGAGAAGCTGACAGTAATCAATAGTCCTAATAAATGTTAGAGGTCAAAGTGCTGTTAAATTAAAAAAAAAAGGAACCACCGTGTAAGGGGGAATTAACGTACATCCCTGCCTGTGTTGCTGCGCGACCCCTGGCTTGCAGTGACAAGTTGTGGGGGTGGTTTACTGAGACGGCGACATCCGAGCCAGGATTTGGGGGAAGCGACACTTGGCCTTCTGGACGCCTCGGGGAAGAGAAATCTACCGAACGGACCTGACTCCAGCCGAGTCTGGCGTGTCCCCCCCATTTCTTAGCCTCCGTTTTGTAACTGGTGTGCTGTCAGAACGGGTGCGCGGAGCGCAGGGGCCCCCCGGCCCTCGGCAGCCCGGGCATGTCCGCAGAGCCTCGGCGTCCCAGGACTCGGTACCGCGACCTTTCGCTCCAGCCGGAAATGCTTATGCGCCGTGAAACCCCAGCGGTGCGCACCTGGACACGAAGGGCGGTCTCCGCATCGCTTGCTGTAACATCCATAGAGCACGTTTTCCCCATCAGAGGGAAGGCGAGCGCCGCTTCCGAG